GGGCTAGGGACGGGTGGCGTTGTGCGCGTGTCTTCAAGGTACAAACATACTAAGAAGCTAAAATTGGGGAGTTGGTGGTGGGGAAATTGAGAGAGGGTTCACATAAAGTGGCATCTTGTTTCGGGTTACCAGTTATAGTTGGTGAAAAGGCAAGGCAACATAATATAGCCTTGACACAAAGCATTCTGTGTCAAGGAATTGAAGGGAGTAAAATCTTGATCAACTGTGTGTTGTAAAGGGCAAGACCCTCAACCTGCATGCCTCATGATGACACTAAACCATGATTGCATTACTAGGAACGAGTCATGCTAGATTAAACCATAAAGAAACCATATTTCAAGGTATATCCGCAAAAGACATCAGCAATGAAGTCCAAAGCTGAGCGCAAATTGTGTTGTCTACAAGTTATTCTATTGTGCAATACCATCATTTCCACAGTCAAGTTTCCCTGATGGTAGTAGCACTATGTTTGTAAAAACTCCCTGGAACACATCATCTGTAAAAGTAGGCTACTGCCTGAATCACCTGGAAAAGCATTTATATCCTGACCCATCGTTCCAGCATGGAATTTTGACAAAACACCATTTGTGTAAAACTCAACCTTGTTGTTCACAATGTATGACCTGGCAAAATATCATGACCAGACAATTAAAATCCATGTGACCATCTTTGATTCTCGCGAGAGAGGCCTTCACAAACCCCGGTCCCACATAAGCACCTGTTGGCGAGCCTGGCATACATGGGTATAACTGGCTGAACTACTTAAACTGCGGACCACAAACTTTTAACACTTCAAAGAAGCTCACAAGTGGTTGTAGAATGGGTGAAATCAAGAACCGTTCACATCTGACGCTGGTGTCCCACAAGGCACTGTGCTAGATCCATCTGCATCTTCCTATATCAAATGACCTGCCCGTCACGTGCGGGCCCATCCACTGGCTCCGGCCTTATCTGGCGGATGACTGCTCTGTCTTAACAGGCCTAGAAGGAGCTACAGGGTGACTGAACAATGATCCAGGAGATGGTACTAACACTTGGGCGGAATGGTGGCTTTAACTTAATGCTTTAAATTAATGCTCTGTAAGTGCCTACATACTTACCCCACACAACACCCAAAACAACCACACACACACAACAAAAAAAATATATTATTACACACACTATCCACACAAGAACAAATGCACAATTGAGAGAACATAATATTAAAAATAACATCATATAGATTAAAAACAAAAACATTAAAAGAAAATCATGAGATAACAAGATATAAATGAAACCACCACCATGGATTTAAAAGTAAATATGACAAGAAACAACAGGTTTCTTGGCAGTTTGCTTCCAGATATTCTGGAGCAATAATAAACTGAACGCTCTGCTTTACCCATGTTTCAGTTCTACTCTGGGACAGAAAGCTGACCAGCTCCTGAAGACCTGAGAATCTGGATGGGTTAATTATTAGCAGGAGGCAGAATGTATTTTGGGCCTAAACTGACCATTCCAAAGCTGTTATAAAACCAGCAGCAGTTTTTGAACTATTCTTTGAAATACAGGAAGCCAGTGTAAAGACTTCAGAACAGGAGTGAATGTGATTCCACTTTCTTAGTGTAGTGAGGACTCGAGCAGTGGCGCGCTCTGAATTAGCTGCAGCTTCTAATGGATTTTTTAGTGAGACCTGTGAGACACCATTACGAGTATCCAGTCTACTGAAGATAAAAAGCATGGACATGAGTTTTTTCCAAATCTCGTGACATCATCCTTTAATACTAGATATATCCTTTAGGTGACTAGTAGGCTGATTTAGTAACTGTTTAATGTGACCTGTTAAACTCAGGTCCAGAGTCAGATGAACTACACCTAGATTCTCTGGCTTTATCTGTTGTTTTTGAAATTGAGACTGAAAGTCAGCCTAACTCTTGATAAAGTTCTGCCTTGCTCCAAAACCAACACATTAAAAACGATATTCTATGCCTGAAGATGTTTAAGGGGTTCCCCCCGTTATCTGGGGGTAGAAATCCACAACAATCTGAAGTTCAGTCAACACATTGGCCAAATTGCAACACAGGCAAAACACGTTCACTCATCTTTCTACACTGCAACCTAGGACACTGTCCCTAGAAACTGAAAGCGACAGCTTTAAAAAAGGTAAAAGGAAGACTTTAAGAAACCTTGGTGTCATTTTCACAGTCTGAAATTTCAGACAGTTAATAGTTTACATCATCCAGCATCTTTTGCAAAGGTAGGCTAATGCTAAAGTGATGCATAAAATAAGTCAACACAATCTCTGCAAGATACGTTTATTAACTACCAAGCATGGTCACTGTACTGACAGTGACAACTGTTTCTTAGCTTGTTGTTAAACCTCCACTGGATGGCGACAAAGCAGCAGGAGTACAAGTCGGCCTAATAAAAATGATGGCAAAAAAAACATTATTTTTAAAAAGGGGCTTCTAATAGCACTTTGGCACGTTATACGTATTTTCCTATTCAAGCCTTAAAATATTTAGCGTAAAATGCAAAGTCAATTCGTGTGTTCCTTCTGTGTTTCAACAAAAACAATTATTTTGTTGTGAAACGCTACATTTGATTGAATATTGTAAGGCATTATCTGCAAATTACATCACCAATAAAGTCAAAAGCGAGCGCAAATGTGCGTTGTTTACAAGTTATTCATTGTGCAATACCATCATTTCCCACAGCACCTAAAGGCAGCAACAGTTTAGGGGAAGTGGGGTTTTTGGATGCTGATCTCCGGTCTGTTATTTAAACTCCTCCCCAAAGACTTTGGGCAACAGCGGCAGCGATCCAACCGATTCCATGTCAGCACTTACAGAAAGCATAGCACAGGAAGGCAGGAAGTCAAACTTGTTGCAGTTGCCACTGCGATTACTACTTTCAAACATAAACGCCACAAGTACATTTGGAAATATAGGGATTCTTACTTTCTCCTTCATATTGCCAGCTGGTCTTTAGCGATGGACAAGCTTCGTCGTGTTTTAAGCGGTCAAGAGGACAACGAAGAGTTGGGTCTCACAGACCAGGTAACGTTATCTTAACTTACTGTAGGACAGCTGTATGACACTGCTAATGCTAACGTCCTGTTACGTCAACTGGATGAAACTGATTAAAAAATACCATTGTGCTACTTTTGTTTCCTGTCTGAAACTCAGTTACCTTCCACTAACCTGTTATAATTATAAAAGTTGTGTTGTTACTTAGACAAAGTAACGTTAAACTAGTCAATAAAGTTAGCTAAAATGTCACGTTCAGCTAGCTGTGTAGCCTTTTAGCTAACATTACAGTTACATTTGCATGTTTCTTTTCGGTGTATCTTTTTAAGTCTAGGATCAAGCTAACATACCTAACGTGTTCTTCTGTAGGCATGTAATAAATTGTACTGTTTGTTTACACTTTTTACACGCTTTCCCGATGAGGAGGAAATGGGGTAAGGTGCTAACTTGAATTATGTGTTTTTATAAATCGTGGTACAACTTTCTAAACTGTTTCACCCTGACACACCCCACTCTCCCATGCTTGCATTTATTTAAAGACTCTACTTTACATTTCCTTAACTTTACATCCTGGTACTGAGCACCTCTGAGGTCACATGGTAGAACAAAAATTTGATTTGTAAATCCACAGTATACGTCGATTTTCTTTCTAACATGTGACCCCAGGTCTCAATGATTTATTTTGACCTAATTTCCCCAAATGTAATGTACTTAGTTATGTTCTGTGCTGTTCTCTGTGTGTGTGTTTTAAGATAATACTGTATCTTGTTATCTGCCTGGCTCCAGCCAACATGTGTATATCAGCAGTGGGAAGCCTGTGGCTCTTTCTGAGGGTCGTTGTGTCTGTCTTGTGACATCCTCCCATTGTTCTCACCAGGTCCTTGATGCCAGCACTCTCAGCTACAGCACCAGGGTGAAATGGTTCGTCATATGCTTTGCAGGGGGCATCCTGTGTTCGATACTTGTGAGTGCCTTACATGATGAAAATGAGGCTTGTATGTTATGTCTGACTTTATACTGACTTCAGGAATGCGGAGCGTACCTAACCCTGTTAATGCTGTAAGAAAAATTCCAAGTTATCTTTTCTTGTGCTATGTTTGCACAGCCCCCAAGTTATTAACATGGTTCACTGCAAAACCATCAGGACAATTCCTATCCTTTGTATTTAATTCACACATAGAGGTTGCTTTCCGTCAGAAAATAACGTCAAGTTTTAGTTTGTAAAGTGTAGTTTGCAGTTCAAATTACAGGAAGTGTTACAACACTTGAAGCCAACCACATAGTGGTAATTCACACGGAAAAAGTCCCATCAGAACCTGCGTATGCCTAGCTGCTAAAGTCTGATATCTCTATCAACAAACATTACATAATCTTATAGTCTCTTGATATCTCTTCCATTCAGACATTCAAAATGCATTTACCTTAAATCCACAGTGTTGCCCCATACTCTGCTTTTCTGAAGAAATAAGCAATGTCTAAACTTTGCTCCTGTGAGAAGCAGGTATTAGCTGTATGTTTTTTGAATCCCCTTACAAAAACATTAGAAGTGTTGCATCCCTTACTTACTCTAAATATCTTCCCTTACATGTTAAAATGCATAGTCTATTCACACTGAATGTGTCCCCAGTGTTGAGTGATTCAATTAGTCAAAATGCATGTGGATTAAAATATTTCTCAGGCAGCGATTCTTAAACAAAACCTGATGGTATTCTGTCAGTAGGGGGAGCCCATCATGTTTCAGAGAAACCATTAGCAGCCAACTGTCCTTGTAGTTGATTTTTGTTCTAATACAAAATAAAATACAACGTTTTATGCCTTTAATCCTATTTGTGTGTTATTTATTTAGCTACTTGGCATTAAGCCCTATATTAATGTGTGGTAACATTGTTCTGTGTAGCTGACAGAGGCTATTTTCTTCTTTTTTTTAGGGTTCAGCACTGCTTTTCCTTCCAAATGGAATGAAGCTTTTTGCCGTCTTCTACACGTTAGGGAACATCGCTGCTCTTTCCAGGTAAGAGGCTTCAGTCTAGCTCAAAATAGAAGTCCATAGAAATGTAATGTCTCAATATATTTCTCATGCCAGGATAACACGCTGCCAGGAATAGAACAAACAAGGAGCAACAGGTTTATACACTCTAAATAAATGTTTCCTTGATGACTGACACCACTGGCACAGATACATACATATTTCTCCAAGTTTTGCTTCTAAGCTGTTTATAAAGACAACACTGATACAACGCATGTCATTTACTTTCTTACTCTCTGTGCACTCACCAAATGTTTGGAGCACAATGCCTGGTGTTATCATTCTTTTTTATATCATAAATAATGTGTATATTTACACCATAACAGTGGTTAGTTCTGGTTCTACCCCAGACTAAAGGATTATACCTCAAAATATAATCTCCTACATTTAATCAGTTTAGCATTAGTAAAATTATGCATTTTTTTTGTATAACTACCATATAAATTAACAGCCTTGACAATCACATTGCCTTTAATAAACTTAAACAGACATGCTTCTTTAAAAAAAATGCTCTATAATGCTGAGGCAGGTAAACACTACATGCAAAAGGTTAATACTGCACCTTATTAAGTTTAAGTACCATCTGTGTCATTGTACAATTTAATTAGCATACCTGAAGTTCAATTGTGTGTTGCATTAATGTCACATACAGTACAAATACATGTTGAATTCATAAAAAAAAAACGGCCTAAAATATAAAACCCAGAAGATTCCTTATACATTAGAAGCAGCTCTGAAAAGGTTTTGTTACGAGGTTTGAATGAAGACAGATTGGTGCAGTCAGAAATGTGTTTTGAGGAGAGAGTTCCAGAGGGAGGCTGCCGCTTTGGAAAAGGCCCCGTTCCCCCGTAGGTCCAGTGCTTGGTCTTCTGTGGTTGACACAGGGGGTTTGGATCAAAGGAGTGAAGGGAAGGAGTGCGGTGGTGGAGCAGGTCGGTGAGGTAGGAGGGGGGCCTGGCTATTGAGGGCTTTGTGAGTGAGGAGGAGGATTTTAAAATGGATGCGTTGGTGGACAGGGAGCCAGTGGAGGTTCTGAAGGGCAGGGCCGGGCCGGGTGAGCAGACGGGCAGCAGAGCTCTGGAAGTACTGGAGTTTATTGAAAAGTTGAGGATGCTGTTGCAGAAGCCGATTCGTGATGAGATGAAGGCATGTAAAAGGATTTTGGCAGTAGAGAAAGAGAGGAATGGGTGGAGAAATGCTATGTTTTTGAGGTAGAAAAAGGCGGTTTTGTGACCTGATTGATATGGTTTTCAAATGAGAGGTTGCACATGTGTGGGGAGGAGATACAGACTTGCTCTCATAGTTGTTTGTTTCTAAAAGTAGACCAGCCATTGGTGTTTTCTGACATTATAACTTTTATAGGAGCATGCAGATTAATTCCTTCCCAGGGACATCATGCAATACTTTTAAATCTCTCATTATAGTGGCCTTGCTTGGGCAAATGTTCTTCAATAATTAGACGTACTACACATATACACATAACTGAGACTGATAACAGTTGAACTTTTTCTCTCTGCAGTGTGATTCTGATTCAGTCAGTACGCTTGTGTTGTTGCTGCCTGCTTTAATTATGCTGCTACACTAACATATAACTGTTGTATCTTTATTGTATGCATTTCGGGCTGTCTTATTTTCATGGTTTAGTAAGATTAGAATTTCATCTTCTATTACTAGAAATCAGGAACCTACTGGATTTTCACAACATTATGGATTATTTAGTCGAGATAATCCCAGGGCTGAATCCAATCATGTCTTTGACTTCTTTGACAGTGAACCACTGATGAGACAGGGCAGTCTCGATTTTCAGGTATCATATGTCCAGAAGGTTTAGATCCGTCAAGAAACTGGGTCACCTTCTGCTTTCATAGCCCAGGTTACCGATCCACAGCAAGACAACAGTGTCATATTTTAAGAAGCTTAATGCATTTTTCATCTGTATGTGACTTTGAGACCATGGGCTACCTCATTTAAATGAGTAGTGGAATATTATGTCAGAAATAAGAGTCATTTTAGTGATGGATCACATGCAACTGTTTAATAGTAAAACCATAAACGTGTCTTACATGTATTTCATTTTTTGTCAATAGTATGTTCCCCTTTTTCAAACAAAATATAGTTGTTTCACTTTTGAACAGTCACAATTTGATTTATTTAATGTTGTGAATATTACACAGCACCCTGGTAAAGGTTATTTTGAAGTTTTCTATTTTGTTCCTTTTTGGAAACAGGAATCTAGCATTAAGTCAATCTTTTCTGTTCAATCAATAATACATTTATTCTCAACATTAAGCAATACAGCATTCTCTAATATTACTAATGGCATTAGCATTTCTGTCATGGTGCTTCCCAACCACCAGCAGTAGCAGCATGTGTGTAGATATCAGTAGTGTCTGTTGATAGAAATGACCCATCCCTCTCAGCAGACCGGTAGAAAGAGCCTGCGTCAACACAGACTGCTGCGGTGTCTCATCTAACAGATGTGACGCTACGCAGACTCTACCCACTCATCTCTGGAGCCCAGGGCTGCACGCCTCGTCAGCAGAGAGACAGCCTTTGTGATATTTCTTTTACCAACGTCACACATGCCACATATCCATGTAGGAGGTTTTAAAGTAGTCAAATTGATTATAGTGGCGACTTGTGGCACACTCTGGTTGTCACTGGTAAGAGATTTATTTGGGCGTATCATGTATATGGAAGCATATAGCTGACCATCCAGATGGACAGTTCCTGTTTTTCAAAAGTGTTAGGGCTGCTAGCCCTAAAAGAACAAAAAAAGCTATTTTGAATACAACACCTTGGTAACTAACTCCACCATTTTGAACAAAGAAAGAAATAGCAACACATTCGCGGCTGAACTGTTAAATAGGTGATCTTTGGAAAGAGCTATGAAAATGCCCCACAGTGTCGAATGCCTAGCACCTGCTATGAATACAAAACTTGATCGCATTGGGGCTGATAAAACCGACACTGATTTAAAAAAATAATAATATATGTTTTCAGGTTGTCCATACTGTATGTCCTATACTTGGCAACATGATATCTAGGAAACAAATGGAGGGATATTGTTAACATTTGGCACAAACATGGGTATTTAGTCAAAAACTGATCAGATTTTTGTGGTCAAAGTTCAAGTTAAATAAGTCCTCAAAACAGAAGAATTCATACAATAATCATGACAATTATACACACAAGTCTAACGGGATAAAACTCGACTGGTTGGCAGTGGCTTAAAATGAGGAGGCAGCAGTTATACGTTTCTTCTCTATGGATATGACCAAAGAAATAGCGGAACCTTAAACATATAAAGGACAAACTACCTCTTTTTGGACAACATCATACTTGCTGTAGTCAATTCCTTTTCTTACTACTGACGTGGCAGTTCTTTTTGCAACAAAATGATCCTTTTTAGATGCTTTTCTTTATCAATATGAATGTGATTGGTATTTCACTACATAGCCTGCATGTCATTCACTAGCAACAAACTCTTCTTGTACAGTAGTCATGGTATGTTCTGTTTGTGTCAAGCTGCAAAAATGTTGTGACGTGTTTGAGTTCATTTGTCAATATTTCAAGTCCTGCCTTGTGAGTATCACGTACATAGTATTGTCGATGCTGCTGATGCGAATCCTTTATAGTGATAACACCATAGATTACTATTTTAAACAGGTCCAATGTGTTGTTTTTGTCTGTTTCTCTATAGCACCTGCTTCCTAATGGGACCACTAAATCAGCTGAAGCGCATGTTCGATCCAAAAAGACTGATAGCCACCATTGTCATGCTGGTAAATATCACGTGTTTCACTGTTACCTTGAGACCGATGCTTCACTGGATCTGTCATGAGGCCACAAGGCGTTTTCACTGGTGTCTGCTTTCACCTACTCTTGAGGGTGTTACAGGTCTGACTTTGGATTAGAAGGCCTGGTTCAATTAAAGATCTCCCACCTTGTGATCTTAAAGGATTGTGAGGCTAATCTTGACAAACACAATCCAGCTTAGAATGATTGATATTTTCTATTGGCAGATGTCATTCCTTTTAGTTTTTAGAATGTAAGATTACTGTGAAATACTGAAAGAAATCAAGTGTAAGATAGCATGCATGAAGATAACTATTCCTTTGTTCTTCCCTCAGCTCTGCCTCGTCTTAACTCTTTGTGCAGTGTTTTGGGTAAGTACATAATACATGGTTTTCAAAGCCAGCTACACTTATTATTAAAGTGCAGTGTTTTTAACTCTAATTACCATGTTTTATTTTACAGTGGCATAAAAGGGGGCTGGCTATCATCTTCTGTATCATGCAGTTTTTGGCAATGACATGGTAAGTTTGACCAGTCATCTCTGACTTTAGCACAGTTGTAAATAATTGACTCATCACTCACACCTACTCACATGAAGCAGAGTTACAGTTCTCTACCACTGTACATGATAAGGAGCGTTACTCTAGCTGCTTTGCCTTGTAATAAACATCCGGGAGTTGAGTTAGTCACGCTGCTGGCACCTGACTTACTGCTATTGGCCTGGCCCGACTAAATCAATAAAGGTTAAACTTGTGCCGTCTTTGTTACGCTGTACATTCAACCACTCTATACTTGGAATTGTAGATGTTTCAGAATAATAAATATTATTTCTAGATAGTTGAAGATGCACACAGAATATACAACTTGAACTACATTGGTTTCCCTGAGCTTTAATTACATCTGCTTGACATACCCGTTGAGTGAGTCCTGTTGTAAGAAGACAGGTTGGTAGGTTGCCAGGCATCATGGTACAGTAGGTCAGTATATGTTTGACCTGTAGAGAATGAGCTAGTGATTGGATCAGCATTGTGTACTTAGAGAGAGAGAGAGAGGTGTTGCTACCTGTGTTCACACATAAGACAAGGTCACTGGCAGTTAACTGTGGTCATTACTACTTCTCTAATCACAGGTTAATGGTCCAATGAGACCCCTTAATTCATTTACATTTATAAAATATTTAATAAAGACCGTCATATTTTTTTTCTCTTTAATGTATTTAATGTAGGATGTTGAGCAATTTTAACACTGATCTAACCATGAACTGATCCATCCAACAACAACAACAAAATGCTTCAGTCTTAGATCAATTTCCAAGATTTTATTGCAGTATCCAAAGGATCGTTTGTCGTTTAATCTGCTTTAATTAACTTGTGCCAATTGAACCATTTTGACACTGCACTGTTTGATAGCTTTAATCCGGTCAACTCGGTTAAAAAGAAAGAAATAAGCAATTCATCTATAGTAGATGAATTGCTTAAATCGTGTATGGGCCTGTCCGCACTTGTAGAACTATTAATTAGAGCAAAGACCGAGCCTTGTGAGTGTGTGAACGTGCATAGAGACACAAACCTCCAGCAGCCCAGGGGAGGGGGGTGGGCGGGGGGGATGGACGATCTGATTGCCTCACTGAGCAGCACTGTGTCAGCCTCGTAACCAGACGGCTTTTTGCACCTACACGTTCTACGATCACTTCCGCTCTGCCTGCGTTCTTGAAGGCATCCCCATGGCAACCACAAGTCACACATCTCAAACTCATTCTTAACAGACCGGGGGGCATAGTGCACTCCCACGCAGGCACTCAGACGTCTGTGTGAAGGTGGTTCTGTTGGAAGACGTCAGCGCTGATCCACACTCAGAGGCGTGCAAAGTCCAGTCCTCAGAGTTCTGTGAAGTGACCACATGACACTAAAAGACTTCTGACACAGACTCAAAGAATTCTAAAAACTAAACCTTGCTATTACTTGTTTCGCTTAGATGTCAGAGCATTCGCTTGAGAAATGTGGACAGTATTTACATTAATAATTACAGCTCTGCTAACTGGTGGTCGAACAAGAAGGCAATCATGCTGTGCCTGTAGTTAATCATTCAACTGCTTTACAAAATTCCTCCCATTTTTCAAACGTATCACATCAGGGCTGGGAATCTTTTGGTGTTACACTTGAGCTGTTATCACTCTGAGTGATCGTGTTTTTGTTGTTCTCTGTGTTGGGCTACCAATCCCTCTGGAATCATTAGTACGAAGATTACAGTGTATCCAATTCATTCACCATCCATCGTGTTCGGTTAATCCCCTCTGAGCAAAACCAAAGACCCTCCAGTCCAACAATCACTGCTTGATTGACCATTGGACTGCATATTCTACATGTTGGTGTGTTGCTCTTCAGATAGTTTAGGTCCTGTGTTCTCTGTGATGTTGTTTTATACTTTTAATCTATAGTATTTTCACTTCACATCATTACAAAGACATGACATGCAGGCAAGCATGATTCAAACAAACTGGAACTTTAATTTCAAGTAAAGCTCCTGGTTGTAAAGAACATTGAATTACAGGAATATACAGTATGTCCAGGAATGTATGGCCATACAGCGAGGGAAACAAACTTGAATCCAAGGGAAACATCCCATTTTATATATCATTTACATACTAATTATAATGTATTTAGGAATGTATTTGTGTTGTGATAATCATGATCAGTCCTAACATTGGTGTTCTTCTCTCGTTGTTTTTCTGTTTCAGGTATAGCATCTCTTACATTCCATTTGCCAGGTAAGACAACATGATTTATGTTCTGTCTACATTGATGTGATGTGCATGTTCTTTCTGTTGTGTATTGTGTAGTAGTGCTTTTGTAGATTTAGAGCTACCGTTTATATCTGACTCCTGTCCTGTCTATAAATGTCTCTATACACACACAACAAACTGGAGAAAATATCCAGTGCCCCTTCAATGAAAACATGTTTTGATTGACCTCTTAAAACAGTTTGCCTCCAGCATATGGCTGTAATCCCCCCTACGACCATAGTGCAGGCACTTAGTGTCAGGCAAATGGCAGCTTGTTGTTTCACACTCCTCTGTGCTTTAGCTCTGTGACGCTATGTGCTTTATCCATAATATCTAAATGAAATCATTCCCTGTGGCATAATGCTCTTTCAGACAGATTCACAAAAAGACTGCCCTTTCCAATGAAGCTTTTCATATTCCCTGTGATGAGCTTATGCTAAGCTCTAAAGGGTTAAAGCAGAATGCCACATTTTGATTAGATCAAGACCTAAATAGGCTGCCGTGCTTAAGATATGAGGATGGAAACCTCCTACTTTCTCTCTCTGGCTACATGCTTTATATGTATATTGGATAATGTGCACTATAGAGCCTAAAAGCCTTCAAATCTGTAGAGAATTTTCATTCAGAGAAAATATACTCAGATTCCCACTTCTCAAATTGTCCCATATGTTGTACCTCAATGCTTTCTCAAAGCCCAGCGTGAGGTGTGGTGTTGTTTTGTCAGTCCAGCTGTAAGCAGGGTTATGATTTCATTTGGCAAGAGCCCCCATTGAACCCCCCCCCCCCTCACCTAAGTGCCCTGTGTATTTGGGCGACCCTATAATCTATCCTGACAGCTGAGAGACGTCCCATAACCACCCAGACTTCCCCCTCCCCCAACCCAAATGCTATCAACAATACCGAGCTGGGACAAAGACCTTTTCCCGTGCTACCCTTCCAAAAAACAAATTCCTATAGAGGAATGCAAATTTGACTGCTTCTGATTTCCCGAGAGCAACTTATTTATTCGTTACTCCTTTGTCATTATAATTTGTAAATTTGTTCAACACATTAATGTCCCTCTCTCCTTAAGCTTCTTAATTCTTAATCCATTTTTCATTTAATTTAGAGTTGATGGTTTATCCCTTTATTGTTTGCCATGTTGTTTCAGTGCAGCACATTTTGATCACATACTTCTATCCCTCTGAGTGACACATTAAGAAGTACCAGCCTCTTTCCATACTGACAAGTCGTACCGTGATACCTGGCTCTCCACTTCACCACATGGCCAATGGATTTGATCCTTTAATGTGTTTTACCTTGTCTATTTATACCCTCTTAGACCAAGGCAATAAAATCTGCAGCATGTGCACTTCCCACAGTGCTTTAAGGGCTCTATTTTCCCCTAATATTTAATCAAAAATTGGGGATAAAAAATTCCCTGAGACAGATATTTTCTTCATGTATTCTTTCTGGAAATGGATATAGCATCAAGTGATTATTTAAAAAGAAACCTCAAGCTGTACGGGATGAAAAACATGAGGATTCTGGTGTGTTTAGTTCATACATCAGAGGGACAAACCTGAGCGTCTGAAGGAGCAAGTCTCCTGTCTGTCCCCCGATTTCCCCCCCCCCCCCCTCTCAGACTGCTTCTGATCCCCCCTTCTCCTTTTAACCTTGACTGGTACAACACCTCCTCCACCGAAATATCACCGCCGCTCAAGGCGAAGTCTGCATAGCAACACACCGATAGCAAAAGGGAAATGGTGTGAGGGTGAATGGAGAAGGCAACGACGGCCTACGGTTGCCATGGCGATCGCTCGTATTGCATCATCCCTCACAACAGAGCACCTGGAGACAGGGAGCCCCCATCACTGTGAGCATGTGGTGCTTCCCAGCCAAAACACACTCACTTATTCATGACGAGCCCCACCCAAATCATCGCAACAAAGGGCGGGGGGGGGCTTTATAAGTCGCTTTTAATTTTGTGCGCATGAAAGAATTTTACCTCGGCTTACATTTTTGAGAACAACATTCCTTCATTCCTGTTTGCTGCCTTTATTTCATTGTTTATAATGTTGGCTGTTGCTTAGATTTTCTTTTCTTTCCTCAGGGATGCTGTGATGAAGGTCTTCACTACCTGTGTGAGTTAGGACCCCACGGCTGTGAAGACTTGTCCTAATATGCAAACTGTAAGAGCAGTGACTGTAAAATATACATCCATGTTGTTTATACATTATATCTCCAGATTTTTACTATGGCTTGTTTCATACTGTGAATTCTTGCTTTTTTTCAAGTTTAGCTTAAGGTCTGTAACTATATTCCCATTATAACCCCTTTTTTCTTTTGATGTCAGAATGCCTTTTCAATTCTTAATATATTTAAGATTTCCCTATGTTTCATAAGAATTTTAAACTAAATGAGTACAGGTAAATTATTATGAATTTACAAAGTCCTTTACATTATTATAGATATAACCTGTAAATATTTCTGACATATTTACATTTTGAACTGTAGATTTTGAAACGATCTTCTTACCTCTTGTACACAAACGGAAGCGATCTGTTTTCTTTGCAAGGCTCTGATGTGTAAAGAGGCTGTCGGATGCTCTTCCATGTTTATATATGATTATTTTCCCTTAGGCCATTGAGGCATTGCTTCACTGATGATGCACTGGGATATATGATATCCAGAGATTAAAAGCGCAGCTCCTGTCTAGCCTGTTTGTCTGCATGTGTATTTGAACACACCTGCCCCCCCTTAGCTTGTCAAATTACATTAAAATGGCCTCTTCTGCTTTAAATTAGATTTCCTAGATGTAGATATGTCCACATTAATTACGCCTTTCTGAGCATTGTGATTTTATGTGACCTAATAACCTAGAATAGCTTGCACCGAGTTCCCTGTATTGCTTCGGCATGATGGCATAGCCTTTGAGGATGTGGTTGTCATGACAACCTCCCCCGGAAGATTCACAACCTCAACCTTCCCCCATCTGTGGTGCAGATGTTCACATTATCCTCATGAGGAGTTGAGGGTTTTCTGAATAAAACGCCATTTAGTCATGGATCTCTCCCCAGATAGTGAACACACATTTAATAGCATTTATTTATCAATCAAAAGCCACATTAAGGACCAAGCGCACCCTGTTTCCCTGTGTATAAGCAGCAGGGTTTGCTCAAGGTTTACCAAACACGCCTCTAGGTTTCTTTGTGCTTCACGCGACTAAGTAACTACATTGCACTTCCTGTTGTTCTGCCCCCACTAGTTTCATTAGATGCGTGTATAATGTGGTGGATTAGCATGGGCAAGATCTCCCCCAGTACTACTTGTTCAATTTACTTGGCGCAGACCGAGCAAATCCTTGAGCAATTAATCTGAGGGATTAAACAATTTTGTCTAGCGAAGGGAGCGTGGTTGTTTTGTGATCCCACTATTTTTGGATTACGCTGAAGTTTTAAGGTTGAAGAGAAAGTACCCCTGACCTCTGCAATCTGTTGCAGTCTCCCAACTGTTTTCTTTTTATTACATGTAATCCATTGTTATGTCAGAGAGGAGCGGGATCCCACGCACAACAACCAATGGATCAAAAACAAATCTGAGTCCCCTTCCGATAAATAATCCAGCGGATCATTCATGTCATGAAGAATAAATAACACTCCATTATAATGTTTATTTTTGTATTATTCAAGTGAGTTGGCCTAAATAGATATTTGATTGAAAAAGATCACAAGTCTCCTTTGAAAGTATGAACCACCATGGGCCCAATGTTACACATGCCAAATGTTATTTCCTATTTTAAAAGCAATTCACTTAAATTCCTAATTTCTCTGTGGTTATCATGGAGCAATTTAATAATGCATGGTAAATGTTTCATAAACTGTAAAAGATCTACATTCTCAGGCAATTTCAAATAAACAATCCAAAAAAATACAGATTTAAATGGAATTATTGATTTTATCTTACACTCTACAATGAGGGAACAAAATCTCATCGAATCGATTGAGGTACTGTCTACATAAAATGCAGATAACGGGGAAAAGGGAAAGAAATCAATATTGAGACTATTTGTGTTTTACCCTGGATGTCTTTCGGCTGCATGGCTGAAAGAACAACAACGGATCATCTATAGACATCAGTTCTTTGATATTTGAGACTATATTGACTGAATGAGAGGATTGTGCCAGTGACATGTTTTGTTTGTTCAAGGACAGAGAGTTATCTTACAGCACCAAGGACCAAATGCTATCTTTATGACCATATGATATATAGTACAGAATCTGGGGGTCTTTACAGCCAGGGGGCTACTTTAACCAAAGAATGTGATTTGGAGATGAACATTTTCCATTTTTGGGTATTTTCCTCAAGTTGTTATGGTTCATATACAGGCAGTGTAAACATGTCTTACCTTGTTCTCAATTGTTTTTCTTGTCTGAATCAGGATTGGGTTATTGCCAAGTAAAGTATTCACTGAAAATGAACTTTCCTTATTTGGTGCATACAATACACTTATTCAGAAGAAATAAAAAAACAGTAAAGAAAAAAAAAGTGTTAAACGTCATTTAAAAGATTCTTGTACTTATATGTTCAATATAGCTAGTGTGTATACAACTAACTATTAAGGGACATTTATGTAAACGCATACATAGGATTTGAAAGAAGACTTAGTATTTTCTGCTTCATTTTCAATTATATTGTCTGCTTGTAGGCTAAATATGAAATTCAGCTGTGGTTACTTAGATATATCAATCCTCTCACTTTAACCAAACAAAATTATTTGAAGATGTTTCATATTCTTAGAGGATGATTATCTTTGAATCAATTTGACTGTAATACAGCAGAGCGGCGCTGTGAGGAAAACATGAGGTTGATGTCGCTCATTGCTTCAGGAAGTTATTGGAAATGATGAAATGACATCACCACAGTTTTTTCCTGGCTTTGTTTGGTGCTTTTCCTGACCACGCCTTCCTGCCAGCTCCACCATAAAGCAGCCAGGCCTCAGTGTTCACCAGTTGAACTCCGGTCAGTGTGGACAACAGGTGCACTGCAGCTCTCTCCGCCTCCCTGCTGGATAATGCCCGCAGAGAAGCGCCGCTCGTCGCTTTGCGCAGCGCTTCCTCATCATCTGCACTTTGTACATTTGTACGTTTTTGTATCCTGATCACTTCCAGCCGCAAGAATGCCTTTTCCGCCCCTCAACCTCCACCAGCGGATCTCCTCTCCTGGCAGGGATCTATTCGGGAAAAAGAAATCCACCGGAGTGCCTGCTCACACTGAGCTCACCAGCAAATCCGGCGGAGAGAAAGCGGGGTCGGATAGGGAGAAGCAATCCTCTCCTTGGACAACCGCGAATTTAAGGAATTTGGGCCGTAAAGCCCATCGAGAGAAGAGCAAAAGCCCTACTCAGAAGTCAAGTGGCGGTCAGGAGACCCAGGGAAAAAGCTCCTGGCTGTCGGTGCCCAAACCTCAGGACTCTGAAGGAGTCAGGCGCTCCAGCTCCATGGACTCCGCCAGACACCTCCACGGAAAAGATGAAGGGAAGAAGGAGATCCAGTTTACCCTCAGTCTCACCCCTGAAGCCATTCTTGTCATCCAGAAACGAAATCTAGAAAAGCAAATGATGGCAAAGCAGCAGAAGTGTTGCGCATCCGCGGACTTTCGACACCGGCGAGTATTTCCATCCAAAAAGGCGCACGGATCGTCCAATAAGGGCTCCGCTCCTGTGGCCAAAGCGGAGAGCGTAGAGCAGGACATCACCGCCATCGTTAAGATATCTCTTTTGAATGATCAGTACAAGTACGACGATGTAGAGTATGAAGACGAGGACGGAGACGTGGACGAGACTGTTGTTAGGAAATGTAAAGAGTGGCTTAAAGGAGTCGAGAATGCCGCTGCTTTGGGGAAAGTCGACAAACTTTCTGCACTTCCGCACATTAAAGGATGCTGACACATGACTTTTGAACTTTTTCTTTTACTGAAGAGATGATGGACTCATGACAAGTGTGCACCGATGTAGGCCTGCTGCAATGGCATCTTACATTTGAGTTATGTAAATTAAACGTATGCAAATGAGGGGAGACAATTAACTCCAGTTTGATTCCAAATTGTATGGCTTATTAACTATTAAATATATGTCAGCAAGAAAAACACTCATTGGACGAAATTCACATAGAAAAGTAATAATTTTGACATTGGACACACCATTTTTTTTTTATTGCGTGTGGCACTGTAGCCAACAGTACTTCTTATGGGATGTTGCTTTGAAGTTTAAAGCCTGGTCAATGTTTGTTAAAGTTAGAACTGAACACCTTAATAACCTCGTCCTTTGCACATGGTTTTGTTTTCAGTGGATTGGCAGAGGGGTTTGCGTAAAGGGACGTGGAACGGTTCCTTTGTGTGAGTGATCAATACGCTGTCAACAACAGCTTTATGCGCGCCTGCTGCTGAAACCAAACTGGACTGTTTATTTTTCCTCTAATCACAGAGGGTTGTATCCTTTTTATGGATTTATCATTGATGTACAGTATTTAATATTTACTAAATATTTGTACTGTCAAACGTTTTCTCAGCTGATGATTTTATGCCATTTGAAGTAAAAATGTCTTTTTTAAATTATGCAAGTGTCTCTGACCCGTTTGAATATTTTAAAAGCTGATTGTGTTGGATAACTACCTTACATGTTGCTGGTTTGCAGTCACTCAGATTTCTTTGACACTGCTGGCCAGTTCCCAGACTGTAAAAGGCTCTTTTGTTGCCACTGTTGCTACCTGAGGCCATTTGGGCATTAGTGATGTAAGCTTCTTAGATTTCCTGTTAAGCGGGCTGACCAGTGTATAGTAGGGCCCAGGTACTTGATCCCTTCAGGAAATTACTTCCAGTTTTCTTTACCTTTGTCCTATTAAACAAAACAATGCATGTTACTAAACATAAATAGTGTTGGTGCGAAATATCTGGGAGATAAGTTCACCCTGAGTGCCAGAACAACATGGTTTGCAGCAAAGGTATTCCCAGTTTGAACTGAGGGCATAATCCCACTGAGCTACAAGATCTATGTTTTACTTCTATAAGAGGTAACTAACTTTGTGTACTGCTCAGGGAGAAACAGCTGGTCCGAAATCAATTTGAGTGCTTTAAAAACAAACATGCCCTGTTTTGTTGGCAAGAAAACAAAAATAAACCAGAGTTAATGAGAAATTAAGCATTAAAGACACGTTTGGCTTCTTTGATGGTTCTCAGCGGTCTATTGTATTGACAATTAAATGGAAATGGAAAGTAAACTGTGATCCCTTCCAGCTTTGGACACAAATGAAACCTTCATGCGGGGTCACAAACATATTTTAAATATTTGTGGTTGTGTGTACAGAGTGAAGGCTCTCTGCAATAAGGCTTTACCATTGTTCTCCGTCACTTGGTAACCAAAGTTTGTGGTAGACTTTAAAGCCCCAAATTGGACGGCGAAGTGTAACCTCTAAGACACATTGTTTCTGAAAAGCCCACACGCCGACAGCTGGTAAGACATTCTTGAAAAATGACTTTTATGCTCCTATAACATTGCAATTTAATATCATTTTGAAATTTGACGCCAAAAATCTTTTTTCCAAAGGTATAATCAACAGATTTGCCATGCAATCTGTGTGCAAGGACCTTCACCAACCAAGCCTTCTTCCTTCTCTTTCGAATGCACACTTACTACCTGTTGGTGTCGGAAAGGTATTTTAAATAATCCACTTATCAGCACTGAGTTTTTTTATTTTATTACCATGGTAATTGACATTTAAAACACCTATGGAGTAGTTCATTAGTTGTCAAATATGTGTCTTTCCATTGTGTTCTAGCACATGACATTACAGATCTCACATGTGAGTGAAGAACAAGCAACCAGAATAAAGCATCTTGTCCTGAATAGATGTTCCCATTCAGTGTCACAAAGTGGTTTATTTGTTGCATGTCACAGTCTGAGATCATGGCTGGACCAGTACAGTGTGTACCAAGACCCGTCCGCCTCTCCCGTGATGATATTATCAACGGGCTCGGTGTCCAAAGGTTGTGTAATCCCTCTCTATTGTGTCATTTCAATTGTGCCCTTGTTTATGTGCCTCTCTCGTGGTATTCATTGCTGTCTGGTGTGTGCCTCAAGCTGAGCTATTCATGTCTGTCCTGGGGGTGAGAGCTGCATTATTGTATCTGAAGTAGCTGAAATACTTGTGTTCAACAGGGAAAAAGAAAAATTAGAAGAATTAGTAGAAATTAAAGAAGCAGGTTGACTTGGTTACAGGTGAAAACACTTTCTTTCAAGGTCTTCTCACTTATTTGTATCCCCTTCCACAAACTACTTCTGTTTACACCAGCAGCATATGATAGCAATGTCTCTACCTGGGTCAAAAGAAGCTTCTGTCCACCTCACTGCAGCATCATGATAGCAGTGTGATAGCAGTGTGCATTATGCTCCTCTTATTTATAGTGACAGGGAGCGCAGATGGATGCTGCCTCCGCCCTGTCACTGACACTTTGCACACAGCACTGCAGGTCCCTCTGCTTTTCCACAACAGTATTACTGTGGCAACGGAACTGATAAATCTGTGTTTCCAGCAGCTTTTGTGAGAAAAGACAAAGCAGACACTTCCTGCACAGACTCGTCCCATAAACTTCAGTAATGTGGTCATTCAGTGGCAGCCTGTTAAGAACAAGGCTTTTCCCTGAGACAGGGCGACCTCAGAGAGAACACTTCGATCACAGAGTGCCGTCCTCCCTTTAAAGCTCAAGCATGTTTTATTCTTCATTTAAGGATAATAAGAAGGGAGCATGCAGCTCCATCTTATGCAGTTAATCTGCTTTGGCATGTTACTCCCATTAGCCTTGCATTCCTTGTTACCATTTCAAATTCCTTTGCATCTTATATTTTCTCTTAATTCGTTCTGACAAGTTACCTCTTGCCTTAAAAAGTATTAGTTGAAATCTGTCTTTAAAACCTTCCTCTGCAACATCTGTTGGGTATCAGTCCTCATCCGGATTAAAGGGAGAGCAATGATCCGCTAAGGGACAGCCCTACAACATTGGTTTCTAGACACATGCTGGAAATAAGGTAAGAGCTTTGTGGGAGAGGAGGTGGGCATATTCCTCCTGCGTAGATATTTTTTTTTTAGCTGGATCTTGCACGAACACAATGTCAGGCTGGTGTGTGTGTGGGAGGTTGCTTTTGGCGGGCGTGGGGGATTACCAAAAATGCATTCTTATTTTTTAATCTTCAGGCAAGCTGACTGATTCACTCCCACAGCATCTAAATTGGGTTTTACTGTGGATAGGCAGGGGATGGAGTGAAAGCCCAGCCCTGGAGGAGGAAGGCAATGCATGATGGAAGTCCAGACCCGGACCAAGAGGCCAAGGCCCGGCATCAGGCTCAGCTGGAGCAGGTTGATAAACACTATAGGATCAAATGTTTGTGCCACTTTTATAGGCATTTTTAGCTGCTAGTTATAAACGTGCTTGTTGATAAATTATCAATAGTTTCTTCATCTCTCAATAATACTGAAGCACAGTAGTGGCTCCATATTTAGGTGGTGCTTCCTTATCCTTTTAGCTCACTTCCCCTCAGTTTGTGTCCTTCCTTTTTTTGTCTATCCTCCAGCGCCATCTAGAGGCCTACAGGAACATGCACCGCCTCAGATATGCTCTCTGTCGCCGCTATGCTGCCCTGCTCTCAGACAAGGGCTGCTCCCAGAGAGCACTGCTGCAGCAGAGAGAAGAGGCAGCCAGAGGCAAGTCAGAGAGTGAGGCTCAGCAGGTAAAGCATAACATCCAAGTGTAACAAAACTCAGTGCTTTATTTTAGTAAACAAACTCTGTTTTTCGTTTATATTAAAGATTATGTAATTAATATCGTGGCTGTCCTGGCCACGTTGAACTGTTTTCCATCTCATATTTTGTATCTGAACTTGTGTGGCAGTTTCATTATACATGTTTAGAATCTCTCACGGAGACAATTATAATAAGATAATGAATCTAATAAAAGTCTTAATGTTAAGATGTTCACCTACAAGACACAGGTAAATGTCAAGCATTAAAGAAGGACAAGCATAACTTCATTATTCTACTTTTTTAAATAGTTTTTTTTATTATTACCAGAGACAGTGCACACTATTCAACACATCAGTTTCCTCCTCAATGTAAATGAGTTAGCTAATGAGCTAATGTTGTAGTCCAGTGTTGCGTTATTGCAAATAGTGGCACTACTCGCTTGAGCTAAACACTGTGATACACTACAATACAATATATAAATACAAAACAAAGTAGCAGAAAAGTACGATGATGATACGTTTGCTAAATTTGCATGTTCAGGAGTAAAAGTTTTGATGCAAGAGTCCAAACTCCTTTCTTTAGCTGGCCATGGTTTTGCCTGGAGGGCCTGTTTTGACCAATTTGCCTACCACAGCACCAGACTTTGTCTGAGCTCAAATACACAACCCTCCAAATCAAAGCCTCCCTGTTTTGCCTGTAACACCTTCACTTTCTCCCCTCAAGTGACATGCATAACATTAAAACCATTGCAGCTGCAGTTTACAACTTAATCCTGTGAGTCTGCACCGTATACTGTGGGCCGTGTAGCAGCCTAACACTTTGATGAATGGAACTTTTGTAGCAATTATTTATATTATCCATTCAAATGTTAACTTCCTGATCCTGCTTTTGGATCATCATGAAAGCAAAGAAAGTCCGTAATCATTAGAATCTTAAAAAAATAATGAATAATTGATGTTGAAATTTAAAACCACTTATTATTTTTATTTTTATGACCATTTGCAAATTCTTTTCACATTGTCATTTTTGATCCGCTGCTGTTTTAATATCCATTTCAATCACTTTAAATATAGATTTTCGAATTTAAGAGACTATACTGTGTCTAAATTGATGAACCCTAGAAAGTACTTGTTGCAAAAGTAAAATGTTAAAGTTGGGAATTGAAACCGAAACTTCTGAAAGATGTGTTTCAAAGTACATGTCAATGCTACGAATTCAGTGATATCAAAATACGAGTAATAAAGTTTTAGTAACATTTCACAACTAGCTATTAAGTTGTTTAAACAACCCACAAATACAAATGTAGTTTCCTGTTCTTGTTTATAATTCCCCTCCTGCTTAGTTGCTGGGATTGACTTTGATTTTGACTGACTCATCTCTGACAGGGTGTGAAAAGAGCAATAAGCTTTACAGAGGGTCTGCAAGGAGGGGGTCTGACATGAGAGAGATCCTGTCTTATCTTCCCCTCCTGTAAAAGCTGAGCTCCTTCAGGAGGATGTAATTGTCCTCTCTAATGACTTGCACTTGGTAGGGGAAGACAAAGAGAGCACAATAAAGGACTTTAGAGGCCCTCCAGTAGGAATCCTTTGCTTTAAATTGCAGAGCAAATTAAACTGCCTGTTGTTTCCTCGACTCAGGTCGAGAGGCTCTGTCACAGACACAGAGGTGAGGTAGGACCAAAGCAGACCGAGGCGAGAACACCTGCTGGGTTCTAATTGGTCCTCGCTGCTGTTAATGGCTTCCTGTGGTTGTGTGTTTACTTCTCATTTGTTCTGTGTACTCTGTTTCCCAGCCCCAAAACAAGGGAGGCCTGCCCTCTGTCTCTGCCTGTCTGTCTGCCTCATCTTTTCTTCTTCACTCAGAAACAAAATAAGTTGTCCTTTTCCAAGCTGCTGCACGATGAATCATACCTGAAGCCCCTCCCTAAAACCAGCTATTACCTGGTAGGTTTTGACCCAGCAGCAAAACACCTGACTTCAATCCTGCCCTTGATTGATGTTTAATCCCGTTCTGTGACATTCATCAAATTGTCCCTCACAATCGCTTTTCTGAGATCTTTGACCTCCAGAGGCAGTTATCTAAGCATGGACATTTGAAAACCCACCACGACTTGGAGGACTTTTATAGGGGCATCAAATATAACCGTCACCCAGTACAGCTGTATAAAAGTCTGGAGGATGTCAAGAAAAGGAGTTAAGAAACATTTTTTATATTAAAACGTTCTCTCTATTGTTATGGAGAAAAGCAGTAGATGTGAATTTGTAATGTGTGTTGATGTTACAGTGTTGGAAAGCAGACCTGCAGCTGGTTTGATGACCGACAACAAATCAGAAAAATATCCCCACACCGCTGAAGATAGAGGACATGAATGCCACTCCAGGAGGAGAATACCTACACTGTAATAAGTAGTGGTTACTTCATTTAATAGACCTGGGAATTAAGTTCAGGCGGATATATATATATATTTTAATGTATGATTATGTCTGCTGCCTTGATTGTAAACCCTGCAACATTCTGTACTTTTAGAGTAATATTTTGACTTGATTTTGTTTTTCAGATGTAAGCTTTTTTGCTTTTTTCGAGACTTGGACGAATAGATTGACACCACACTCTCACATTTGTCTGTTAAAAATAAAGTTACAGCTAAGCCAGTTAGCGTAGCTTAGAAAATGGGAAAACAGCAAGCCTTGCTTTTGCACCCTTTTAAAACTTGCAAATTAAAATAAATACCAAAAATAGTTTGTTTGAGTCTAAAAGCAACAGCTTGAGATTATATGGGGTTGGAGCTATGGGTTTGAGTCACAAAATGATTCTCTAATGCTTTAAAATAAAACAACGTGCAAGTCTTCAATATTTCGGACTCAGGGTATACGTGTAAAAGATACAGCTGGTCTTGGTAAGGGGCCGGCTGTCTGTAGAGGCCTTGGCTCCTAAACTGTGAACTCTCTGGATCTCTGTTTGCTCTGCCTTTAAGAACAAACAGGGACTCCACTGGAGGCTTGTTTAGCGTGGACCCTCCTGGAGGAGAGAGCTGATTACTCACGTAGAAGTGAGATGACCAAACACAATCTGACCCTGCTGTTGTGGAGACTCGCTATACTCGGTCGGCCACTTTAACTTCCACAAACATCGTCCAGGGGAAAATGTTGTCATTATGTCCGCTACAAAAGAGATATAGCAATTGGGCCAGTGGTGTCACCTTATGCCAGCCCTGTGAGCAGATGTGGAACTGTTTGAGAAGTTCCTACTCATTTAAAGCTTTATGGGCGTCCAGGCAAACAGCACTCCGTTTAGCAAAAAGTGGCAGAGATAATCGGCGAGCCTTTAAGACTTTGAGTTGTATTGTGGTTCCACTCATCGCTAGTTATACAAACATTATACTGGTATTAAGAATAATCTACTACTTAAGCTTCAGTTTGAAGATAGAAGACTGGAGGTTTTGTTTATTCTGCAGCTAATACTATAACTGACATCATCTTTTAGTTTATACACCTGAACCTCTACTAATTTCTTTCAGGACTTTTACTTCAATTGACACTTCCCGCTCAATTTATTGTTGAATATTGATCAACATTACAACTTGAACTTCAGTGTTCTACTTTTTTAGCACCCTAACCCTAAACTTCACTTAGCACTAACACTTGATGACACTTTGACGTTGAAACCTACCTTTCTTTCAGCAACTCCATTTTAACTGCTAATTTCACTTCTCTCAGTAACTAGGTAAATTGCCTCTTCAACTACTGTTTCAATATTATAACTATATCAAGCATTACAAATCTAATATTTCAATAGAGAGTAAAGTGTTACGTATTTTCTGTTTAAATGTATTTTAAGATGGGCACTACGTATGGAATTAGAAGCACTTTGATTGATTTATTCCAGAAAACTCTCAAATGCCTATCTCTTTCTCTAGTTCTGCTGTCGTACCTTTTTTAACACAAAAGAATGCGATTAACATGGGTGCTGATAATTTCAACCACGCATTTGACAAATTATAATCTATGAGTGTTTTTGCTTTAAATCTAAAGAAGGTAACTATCAACATTACATGTAGGCACCTGCTCGTATCACCCTCGGTGTCCCTTGTGTTTACATGTTGTGAATGTATAACAGACCGGTGTCGGCCACTGTCACCCTTGTTGTTAATTGGGGCTGAATTCTGTTTAGTATGAGCATGTATGATGTTAGCAAGAGGCTGTCAGCGTCAAACAGCTCATTGGCTTGGGGACATTAGACTCTTGGTAAGAAGACGAGTGAAGGCTTACGCTGACAAGTCCTCCATCAGTGTGAAATCTCACCACACCACAGACAAACATGGCGAGACAGCGGCCCTCCCTGCGCCCCCAACCTCTCTGTGCTATAGGCACATTCCCCACATCCATAAGAAATACCCAAAATAAAAGCAATTAGAGCTGAAGACAATCTATGTCGGCAAAGTCCTTGTTTATGTTTGAGCCAATTCATCCAATCTGTCCTGCGTTGGTTACTATTTATATGTTTATTATTAGCTGCTATGATTTATTGGACAGTTTGCTATCTTTGTGACCATCTGGTCATGGTCTCTTCAACATGTTGAATTTCACAAGTATGCATTACAGGCCTACAAAATTAAATTGACCAGAACATACCGTGTCTATTACTATAGTTGACTGCGATGAGTGGAAAACGCACAGAAGCCTGGGCTGGTCGCATCAAATTTTGAAGGATCATTATAGTCAACCTTTTTAATGAGTTATCATTTACGCCACTGCATTGTTGAGCTTTTAACATGTCATCACTAATATTGCACATATATCAGTGCACAGGTCCACATCCTCATTCCTCCACCCGCCTAAGGGTTTGTATAGATCTGTTACCTGCTGCACCGTGCTGTGAGTAAACGCTGCCTTGCTCAGGAGTCCTCCCTGAAGCCAGTTTGCACCCAGCAGACAAAGTGTGTTGTCACCCGAGTGCGCAGTGTTATTGGGTGTGAGCTGCGCCACACTATAGATACTCTTGAGAAGTAGCACACCATTAGGAATATATTAACAACCCAACATTTTGTGTGCAGGTCACACATCCCAGCTGTAAGCAAGTTGACCAGATTACAGTATGTTTGAACACAGTTTTGCCTCGATCATTATTTCTTAGATGTAAATGTGATTTTCTTTTTGATGGCCTTTTGTTCGTAAAATTAGCTGATTTCTGCATGTGTGTGTGTTTGGGTCTCCAGGATATTAGAGCATAAGTCTGGATCAGGAGAGGCCTTTGCGGAGCTGATCTTTGGTGGCAGCCAGGAGAAGGAGCAAACTGAGCAAATGTTTCCCAAGGTTAGTGTAAAAACCACAGGGGCAGCAACCCGACTTAACAAGGGCAGAGAGGGGTAAACACACCTGGAGCAGTGATCACCCTCCTCAACCAACACACAAATAATACACTAAACAGAAAGACATATTACTGTTTAGTTTAGTAATTATATATTTTCATCTTTTTGCATCCAACTTAGATTTAATTTTCCGGTTACTCTATTTGCTCCCAACATGTGTATAGCTGCAGAGAAGTTACAGCCAGGATTTGCTTATCTTAGCTTAGCATTAAGACTATCAAAAAGTAACAAATTCCACCTACCAGTAGGCCTTCCCCTAAAACACACTGACTAACATGTTAAATCTTGTTTTGAAGTGTAAAATGTATTATTTAATTAGGTGTCTTTATAACCACATGACCCAGGCTAGCTGTTTATTCATGTTTCTAGTATTTATGCTTCATCAGAATATAATTGTGGCTTGTGTCACAGAAAAGGCTCACCATGCCTTTAACCCAGAAGACTAAGCCAAATACTTCTTAATTTTATTGATTAAATTAAATTCTAATCATTAGGTAGAAAAACCTAGATTTTCATATTATATTCGTATAAGATATTTTAAACTACAGAGATCAGGAGAGAGGCTGGGAAAAAGTGAGAGCATTAGAGACGAGGTTATGCTCAGGTGCTGAGATGAGCATAATGGACAAGCACGCAGGACTCATTTTTCTCTCACCTTTGTGTCAAAACGGGCCTGAGCAAACAGAGGATGAGCCTGGCTGGAGGGAGAGCAGGCGAAGGCAAACAGTGGTCAGACAGGACTGGTGAAAGCCAACAGCGAGCAGGGGCATTAACTCACTGCTGCTCTGTGCTGACATCTCAGACCCTCCACTGTAGGAGAGGCCTGAGACCCCAACCCCTTAGCTCACAATCTGGGCTTAGGTCTTAATGTTTGTGAATAACCAACACTATGTATGTGTGGGAACTGTGGTGACGTCAGGCCACAACCACCGCCTCAAAATAATATGCAATTGAAGGGAAATAATTGAATTACCTGCAAAATCCTACCTTTATTTTCAATGTTACACAAGAAAGTCAACTTGTTCAACTGATCATGTTTGAAGTCACATTTTGTTTTGAATTTGATCGTGTTTTCTGCACTCAAGCAATCAAATTGTTATTTTTATTTTAGAGTAGTCTAAAAGTTGCCCCATGATTTCCCTTCATTGCATTAGTGAAAATCAGCTTGAAACGAGCCTTAAACTTTGAGAACCAAAATAAATCTTGATTTCTTAAATACATCTACAATGATAAACAACATTATCATTCAAAGTAAGTGGGATCAAAATGACGTCAAAACGTAAGCACATTTGTGTCTTATGATGTTGATCCTCAATACCTAGTGTATCAAATGTAAATCAGTGGTGATCTCAAAGGTAAGTATACCAGATACCCAAAAATGGTTAGCAGTAAAGTAAATTGATTTGTAGTGAAAGGGTTCAAACGTGAGAAAACACTGGTATAGTCTTTTAAGTTTTAAAAAGAAGTCAAACTAAATGAATTCAGGTTTGAATGCACTTTAAGTTGCACCCGCATTCAAGCCTTTTGAGGATAGGGGGGATGGGATAGGGGATCTACTATAGAGCACCATATAGATCAATAACATTAATTCACAGTGCTCAGGACAAAAAAAAAAAAAAACAGGAAGTAGCCAAGTGTGACAGTTAGCGCTGAGTGGGGTGTTGGAGGAGGAGTGAGAGGCGCCAAACGGGACACTAGGACTGTGGGAAATGACACTGGCTATGACACCTATGAATTTTACACCGTAGTTACCTCAGCTCGTATACAGGGGGATATCTCTTTTTAAATTACAAAATGATTAATGGAAAAGGAAATGATAGATGAATGCAATATGTGCCACCCACAGATGAAAGCCCCCACATTTGCAACCCTACAGCGTAACTTTATGAGGAACTTTGAGAGCAAGATGCCTGATTTGGTATTTGGATTTTAAATGTGCTTCTTTAGGTAAGAGTGTATGGCAGCTGAGCAAAGAGGGAACACTGATGTACTTTCTTTCAATCACAGATTACCCCTGAGATTCCTGAGAAGAGCAAGAAAGCAGAGATTGACTTGAGACAGCTTAGACATATGCATGATCTTTGTTGGACCAACATGGCTTTCTCCCAAAGGTTTGTAATGTAGCAAACAGGAAGAAACATTAAGGAAAATGTGCACTGACACGGATACTTAAAGTTAAGTTTTAGCAACCTTTATCAGTGAGGAGGAGACATCAGAAGCGTATTGAAGGAGGCTTTAACTGCTCTTTAAACTGAGTGAGGTTTGTTTTTCTCTGCTGGCTGTGAACTGTGGTCCAGACTGCTGGACAGGGAGACAGACTCTCTGAGCTGGCAGGAGGAGCGAGGCAACCAAGATTTGGTTAGTAACACAAACCAGCCACAACACAACACCCCAGAACTCTATGGAAGCTAACACGTAGCTGTCACACAATATCTGCCTTTAACGTTTGTTTTTTTCCTTTCCAAGCCACCATGGCAACAGGTCACAGCGAATACATTTACCAGAATACAGTAGTTATTTGTGAGCATGACACTGTAGTGCCTCATGACTGAATGTAAATCAGTTGATTATGGATTGAGTGATCAGTGAGAGATTTGTTTTCCTTTCTTTCATAGACGCTTCCAAGTGTTGACTCCAAACAAGGGAAGACGAGCCAAACCAACCAGGCGCCTCTCTGCTCTCCAAAACAGCAAAGCAGTGTCCGGAAAGACCGGCCCTCTTGTTCCCCACCTCTGAGCAGAGTGACCTCAGCCAGGTGCATAAAAACACCTTTCATATTTATTTATTGGAGAATAATGCCTGATTTTTCAGCGTGTGTTTTCTTGGCAGACATCCATGTCTTGAGACTCTGGTTTGGGACACAGCAACATGCTGTCGGAAAACACCTGATCCCTTATCCATTGAAGACGTGTGTCAACAAGAGCATGTAGAGGTACAATTATTCCTCAGATAAATTAAATTAGAGTAACAATTGTATTGTTTTTTTTAATTGGTTTTGTTTTCTTCTTTCTCTTTAGATAATTGATTGTGGATTTAAGCTATGGAGGAACTATAAGGTCAACCCAGATCACTGAAGATAAAGCAATTACCTCTGTAGAGAAAATGTGCAAATATGAGTCTGTCAGTTCATATGGCAATTCTACAAAACAACATTACTATATTAAATGATTTTGATATGTCAATTGTTGATTTTCTTCTATAATGATGGCAGTGTCCTTATTCATTGGGTTTGCTGAAATATAAAAGTTATACTATAATGACGTTCGTTCTTCTGTGAGACTGGGTTGAACCAGTTCAATTGTTATAAGAATTGCTGTTAAAATGATGAAGTTTCAATGCAGGCAATTTGTTCTTTTAAGTGACACACAATTGTTCACGATTTAGTAAATGCAATTTAGTAAATTGTTTTATTTTTGTCAATTCATAATACTAGAGGAACTTTGACTTGTTGATACTTAGTTGTCACCCACTTACACAGGAGTGAAACAGTTCCAGGTTTAGCAACATTTATATATTTAAAGTAATCTGGGGTCAATTCTGATCCTTTTAGGAACAAAGAGCAGCTCAGCACACAGTGGCTGTGCTTTCTGCAGGTGTGGCTTTGATCTAAGTGTCAATGTTTACAGGTTGATGTAATAAAGAAGGTTAAACTGCTTTATTCAAAATCCTGTAGTCCTCAATGTATGGCCCTCTCAGCCAATCCCTGGCAAGCCCGCAAAGATCAAAGAGGAGAGGAGCCAACCATGTCCGCCCCAAACACCCATCCCGAGCCTAGCTTCACACTATATATCTGGGAGCTGTCCATGAAGTCCAGAGACCTCAGATAACTGAGTGTGGAGACGCAGGAACAGGAGAGATATTTCGTTTTTTTAAATAAGACCTGTGATTACATACATTCAGCCCTGGAGCTGTTGGACAGGATGGCCTCCGGCGAGTGTCCCGAGAAGGCCAGTCAGAGCCGGGTGGACCACCTCCTCAGCGCCGTGAAGAGTGAGCTGCAGGCTGGCAGCGAGAAGGGAGACCCCACGGAGAAGGAACTCAGCGTGTCCCTGGATGAGAAGACGCTTTGGCAGAAGTTTAAAGAACTTGTAAATGAAATGATAGTTACAAAGAATGGCAGGTAAGCTTGAGTGCAAACAATGAAATGTTTAACTAACAAAGCAACACTATTTATAAAAAAAATAAAAAAAATCTAATTGTCATAATGTCTATCAAGGCGGATGTTTCCGGTGCTGAAAGTGAACATATCTGGATTGGATCCGAACGCCATGTATTCAGTTTTGCTGGACTTTGTGTCTGCGGACAACCACAGGTGGAAGTACGTGAACGGGGAGTGGGTCCCCGGGGGCAAACCTGAACCCCAGACCCCCAGCTGCGTGTACATTCACCCGGACTCTCCAAACTTCGGGGCACACTGGATGAAAGCGCCTGTCTCTTTTAGTAAAGTCAAACTCACAAATAAACTGAACGGAGGAGGTCAGGTGAGGAGATCATTTTCAATGTTGTACTTTCGTTTGTTTTTCTTCAGATACAAACCAAATTGTGATTCCTAAAATGTACTTATTTTCATATAAATACAAATTGAAATAAATGTAAAAGACAATAACCATTTTCCTGTATGTCTTTCGTTTTCCAGATAATGTTAAATTCATTACATAAGTACGAGCCACGCATGCATATAGTGCGTGTTGGAGGCCCGAGGAGAATGATCACGAGCCACGCTTTCCCAGAGACGCAGTTCATTGCAGTAACGGCTTACCAAAACGAGGAGGTGGGCAATTTAATTATTTTTAAATCAAAAACACATTGAACACTTATATAATTTAAAACAACGTACACTAATGTTTCTTGTATGCGCACAAAATGTGTGCGTAAATTACGCACTTTTACATATGGCATTAGCAAACCTTTTGTGAATTTGAATTTTGGAAAACAAAAATTGTTAATGTTCTTCATATTTGGATTTTAGGTGACTGCTCTTAAAATAAAGCACAACCCTTTTGCCAAGGCCTTCCTAGATGCAAAGGAGAGGTAAGAATGCACATTTTAGACGTTTACAATTTTATATGGCTTTAAATGTGCATAAAATTAGTTTCAACATTATGTAAAAAACATCCTCATCAATAATTTCATTTCTTCAAGAAGTGATCACAAAGACATGCGAGAAGATGCCAATGAAAACCAGCAGTCAACTTACTCTCAATGTGAGTTTTGCATTCTTTTTATATAAATATCTAATTTCATGTCAGACTTTATTTTCAAGCTACATATTGCCACATGGCTAATATATTTCATATTGTTTCTTCTCATCAGTAGGTGGTTGGTATATTCCAGGCACAAGCTCTCTCTGCCCTCCTGCGAGTCCTCACAGCCAGTTTGGGGGTCCCATCTCCCTCTCGCCATCCCACGGCTGTGAGCGCTACTCCACCCTGAGGAACCACCGCTCGGCCCCCTACAGCAGCCCCTATGCCCATCGGACCAACTCGCCCAGTGAGTGTTCTCTTCCACCTTTTACCATCCATCACACAACATCCAGGAATTACACCACTTCCTCCCCTGCTATTAACAAGAAACTCAAACAAATGTTGCTGACCGCGGGATGTTTTGCATTCCTCTGGCTTTTGTGTGAGTGGAGCCACAGAGCTGTAAATGGTTGGGCTTCAGACAAGGAATGTTTGGAGTGAATATTCACACTTTTCACTGTCATACTGATATCAGAGGGGCAGGAAATCCTGAATCATACTGAGAAAACAACAGGTTTAGTGGATTTTATTAACCGTATTTGTGATGCCTGTCTTTGTGTTTTAGTTGGTTACTCTGATAACTCGTCCGCCTGTCTGTCGATGCTCTCACCCCACGACAACTGGTCCGGTCTGCAGTTGCCAACACACTCCAGCATGATGCCCATGGCCCACAATTCCCCTTCCGGTACCAACTCAAGGTTTGTATAGTTGTTGTTTTTTTAAAACTAGACACACAATAATACAACTCAGGTACAGGTTAAACATCAGACAATACAATAGACATACAAATAGTGACCTCAATAATTATGGTGACAAAAGAAAAGATCAAAAACCAAATAAACCCTGTCATGTGTTAGATGTTGGTGGAAAAAAGTATTATGTGAGTCCTGTAATCGTATACATGTATTGTTCTAAGCTGAGTTGAATAAGAAATATATTCCTGCATAAAAAATATGGATATTTGTTCAATTCTTTCAATATTATATGCTCGTGTGAAAATAATTTGAAGAAAGAATAAAACGATGTAACTCTGACACTACAAGAATATCATTACTTTTGTCTTTATATTTATTTTCCATGTTGTCTATTCATTCCATAGAAACAATGGCTTTACCTCATGTATCTAATACAATCTAACTCAATACAATATATTACAATAAAAAAAAAGGGCACCATTTTTTACTTTTGCATGAGCATCACCTCTAAACCCTCCTTATAAGAGCTGAGTAACACGTTTTCTGTCCACGTCTCTGCAGTCAGTACACCAGCATGTGGTCTGTGAGTAACCCGCCCCTGACCTCCTTGTCCCAGAGTGAGGGGATGAACAACAGCCTGAGCTCGCAGTTCCTCCGAGGGTCCGGTAGCCACTACCCTGGCCTGTCTCACTCCGTCACAGCGCCCTCCTCTGGCTCTCCCATGTACGACAGCGGCCCAGCCACGGAGCTGCACGACACGGCTCAGTACGACACCTCTCCACACGGGAGGCTACCTTCAGCCTGGACTCCTGTCACACCCCCGTCCCTCTGATGGAGGTGCATGTGTCATCAAGTGATGTCTGCAGGAGGCTTGGTAGGCTGTAACTTTAAAGCAGCAAATAAGTATTTGTCCCCAAATCAATTGGCAAAAGACTGTTTTCCTGGGGCACTACAATCAATCTATATGGAAAAAATGCCCACTTCTTAATTGGTACTATTAAGAGAGACTTCGAATTCTTGAAGGAACCCTTTAAAAATGTGCTTTGCTCTCTTTAAATCACATGTGTCTTTTTGTGTTTAACTTACGTTATTTCCTTTTTTTCCTTCTCCTTATGTTTTTTTTAATGTTTTTGTTTAGCATAGCATGAAACAACATATTTTTTTAATGTTTGTGGGCCAAAATCCCTTTATAATCTGCTTATATTAAGCATAACTCCATGATATTCACAGCAGAAGGCATAAAGATGAAAATGTCTAATGATTTTTAACATTGTTAATAGTGTAAATGATTAAAATAATTGAGTTTTACAATGTAAATAGATAACTTAAGCTCTCTGTATCACAATGACGCCGTTTGAGATATGTTCCAGGTTATTTTAAAAATGAAATGAAAAAGGGATCAATGTTAATATTCTGCTATGCAGACAATATACAACTTTCCAGATCATTAAAAAAACATCATTGCACAATTCACTGCTTTTTATGTTGTTGTCTAAGTTGTCGTCATTCATCCACCTTGGACCTCTCCTTTTTGTCTTGGGTGCGCGGTTGTGAGCCATACCGTGTTATTTATTTCACAAAGAAATGGGACGCAACCAGATTTCTTTATTTAATTCTTACACAGTATCTGGCATGGGGATTATCTTCCATTGGGCATTTTTTTGAATATAATTTTAATAAATTAGTTAGTCAGGTTCAAGGACCTTCAGGGTTCCTTTAGAATAATGGAAAACGCAAGCAACGGGAGGGACAGGGAAATAAAATTGGTTCAGGGGCTTTTTCTTATCACATGAGCAGTTCTTGATAAGATTTCTATAATTTCCAAATCAATGGGGGTTGTGTCCGAAGCAGCCGATATGTGGAATAATAAACTGGCCTACAAAAAGCAATAAAGGCCCACTCTTAAAGATTCTCTATAACTCTGACATTCAAAATGCTATAACAAACTAATTTATTAAACGAGAAGATGATCCTTATAAATTATGAAACTATAAAATCCAATGAATCAATTTTCACAATATTTTGTCTAGAAGTGCTGTGAATAACTTTCCGAAGATGAGAGGCATATTACTTTTTAAGTTAGAATTTAATTAAATGGCTTTAAACGGTATCTAAAGAATCTTTTGATTTCATAATACTCTTGCTAGCTTGTCTAAAGTGCTCCGAATAACGTTCCAAAGTTGGGTTGTTTTCTGTGAGACGCACAGGATTCTGCTTATTTCCGAAGCTAGTCAATCATATTAAGGGAGCTTGTCTAGAGGTTAGAAATCAGCCAAGAATGTTGTCTGTTATTCAGCGGTCCAACTTCCAGACAAGCTATCATGACATGACTGATGGCAGTGCGTTCCTCTGATTTTAAATTGTCATATGATATCAGTTTCTCTACTCTAGCTTAAGAAATAAGCTTGCTTGCTACATCCTTTTGAAGACCGTAAAGTCAGCCGCACCGTCTGCACTCCTGTGGAGCCTGTAAAGAACATAACATAAGTTATACCGCGTATTGTCTTATTAGCAAAATACCAGTATCTTTACTCTGGTTTAACCATTGTATTGTCTCCAGAGACTTCACACAGGAAGGACATCACACAGGATATATTCATGTGCCTCTCTATAGTGTTGCTGGTGGTTGACCTTAGATGACCTCAGGCGGAGTTGATCAGATACAGTACATTTGTAGAGAACTAATTTATCTCTCCTGGTATACTTATATAATATATCATATTGAACAGCTTGAGGTGGAGAAGGTCAAGTGATACAGTTGGAAGGTGTATTTTGTTAGAAAGAAAATAGTCTGATCATAACATGGTTTTTGAATTATTTTGAGTAACTTTGTCATGATTTCTGGAAAGAGGCATTACTGTTGAGGTTTTCAAACTTATTTTTTGTGTTTTTTGAAGAGAAAGCCAACATCTTTATGGCAGATTTCTTCAACACTCAGAAATTAAGTAGGCCTATCTTGAATACATTAAACGTAACAATACTGATGTGGGCAGAGGATATGGTGTTTGATTAGAGTCGAGCTGAGAAAGCGTAAAGAAAAAAGCATTACGGCTGAAGTCCATTCAGCCAAGAAGATCAAGGTCAGTGAAAAAAAGGACATCATGACGTCCCTCCTTGTAAAAGCAGCAGCCCAGACTGACAGCAAGCAAGAGACATATAATCCCCTAAATTTAATACACAACTGCATCTCAATATCAATGCACTGGTGAAAGGTCTGTGCAGTTAATGTGTGTGTATACTATTGCTTGTGTGTCTGTCTGTGTGGGGAGATATTAAGTGAGTATTATTACATATCTTTATCAAATCAATCAACACAGACAAGTTAATACCAAAAAAGGGCGTGCAGATGCAGATTCATGTCCGTAAATACTATCCATCTCGATGATTTATTATATACAGTATGTTTTTAAAGGTAAAGGTGTAAGTGAATTGCTGTTATAACCTATTGCAAATGATTTGAAGGAAAAAGCATCATCGTCATATTGTGGATTGATATTGAACCCTTTTGTCCTTGTGTTTTGCTGTAAGAGCCAATTAAATATCCAATCATTTTTTACTCTATAAGAAATAATGCATAAACCAGGAAAAGATAATGGGATATTTAAAAAAATATATAAATCTATAAAGCCATGAAGGCAGGGTATTTCTCTAAACCTAATAATCCTATTATGATCCCAGTGAAAAAAAGCTCTCTGTCAAAGCAGGGAGCATTGACGCAAGCATGTCTTGACGTCAGTAGCTGCAGTGAAAAAGGGATGGGAGGGGGAGATTCAGAGAAAGAGAGAGAGGGAGTGAGGGAGAGAGGGAGAGCAGTGTTTGCCTTCAGAAAATACCACGAAATACAAGCGTCACTGGCATGAATGCAACTGTAGCTCTTTGCAAGAAACCCGAGGATGTGCGCATATAGACGCACAAAAAGGGAAACAGCTTTTGAATTTCAAAACTGACATCCAAGTGACACATTTGTGGGTAGGTGCTGCACTGGAAATCTAAACCAGATGTAGTAAATGGAATATGATCCCCCGACCCGCGAGTATTCATAAATAAATCAGCATACGAGAGAATGTAGAGAGGAGGAGGAGAGAGGGAAGGAGGGGGGGGGGTGTTGCTCAACTGGTGTCATCCACCCATCTCCAGAAGGGCAAATGGATGTGTAAAAGTATAAGTCAGTGAACATCTGAGAAGCTTTGTGCAGTTTTATCAAAGTGGAAATCTCTTTAATGCACGCACAGTCCTTTGTTGCGTTAGAAAAAGAGAAGAGTTTTTTTTTTATTACCTTTCTTGCATTAAGAGCTTAGTCCACCGGAGGGCAAAACTATCAAGTAATTTGAAAAAGCCAGGCCGATGGCGTCATTGGCTCCTCTGGAGTACCATACCACGGCTTTGCTGGTGTAGTTATTCACAGTTTATTCGCACATTTCTCTCTGGCTCCTGCACACTGATGTGACAGCAAACCTGTCCTTCCAATAACACAAGGAGCATTTATTTGATATTCTCTAGGAGATGGATTAGCAGGTTTTACGCAAGAAACGTCACAAACGTTCCACTCGTCGCTGGACTGACGGTGTTGTAATAAGAGGTGTCGTAGCGCGCTTCTGTACAGTGCTTTCTATAATACACTGGGAAGGGATCCTCTCCTCCGTCACAGATGTTGCCAGAGAGAATTATCTACCCGCAACTTAATGCGCAGCTCAAATGGTGCCACGCGCTCTGGCGTACTTTGGCGGGCAGACCATGTCCGGATAAGCTTCGTTTACATTGGCCTTTACTCTTCGAGATACCTAAGAGTTCCCGTTGTGTCGGCTGTGCGTCATCAGTGCCTGATTAGACTTGTAGTCTGACGTCGCTGAGCACCATTCAAGCAAAGCACATCACATAGCACGTCGAAAAATCTAAATGGATGAAAAAACAAGAAGAAAGAAATACAACCACCACCTTAAGACACGGATCAACAAGTTGCCTCCAGTGCGTAACTTCCATCTGAGCAGGGTTCAAGCGTAATTGGCTACGCACGTGATCGACCAATCACCTTATCCGCAAATATTTCTCCTTTGTCAATAGAAATAGTAGACTGTCCGTGGAGACACTTGTGTCCGATCACGGCGTGAATCTGAGGGAGCTGACCGGCTCCATGCCTCGCTGCGTGTCCAGGTGCTCGGCTGGCCACCACATGGTAACTTTGCGCACAAGGCACGCTGGAAAGAGGACACAGAGAAGGGATCTGAATGATTGAGACTGAGATTAATACGCATTTGTCTTCTCGCATCCCCCAGACTGTTGTATGTGTTGTTTATCCTGCCGGTTGAAGGTTTCTCACGTTACCAGCAGATATCGATTCAGCGGCGGATAGATCCATCACTCGAACAGGGAGCAGCAAATGTCGAAGAAACGGAAAAGTCCTGACGACCAGGACTTTGAGGGACCTTCAGCTGCACGCTGCGACCCAGGTAGGAGTTATGTTAAGAAGTTAAAGTGTGAAAGTTGCTACTAGAGTGCAGGCATGTGGTACTCTCAGGAGTTCTTTGATAAAAGGTGTTTCTACTGTGCATTTCGAAATTTGAACAAAATGTTACTTATTGCAAAGTCAGAGGCATCAGGTGCTGTACTCACCCAATGAATCCACACAATATTAAACATGTGCAGTGAAATGTTGCCATGTAATCACCTCACAGTTACCACTAAAACAATCATTTTAATCCCTAGAAAAGGCAATTTTGTGTTGCTGTGGATTACTTTTATAATCTCTCATCAATCCCCAGTGTGTGACATCAGGGGGGGGGGGCATCACTGTCACTCTGGCACCCTAATGATCCAGAACCTGGATTTAAGTAATGGGGGTTATTTCAAGTCTTTTTGTGAAGGTGGGGTTCATTTATTGTTATGGACTGCGTGAGTTATTTGGGATAATTACAACGGGATGTACCATCAAGGTGTACCTGGCGCACCCAGAGGCCTGGCATGTTAATGGGCCTTGTTATGTGCACAGAGATAGAAATAGAAAATAACAATAAGTAACTTCAAATTGTCTCACCAAATAGTCTACAGTCATGGATGGTTTAACAAACACATGTTAAAGGAGTACTTTGTCTATGCACAAATAACTA